CCACTTTTATTTAACCGTCCTCTGAGCAGGTAATACGTCTTCAGAATAAAGTGTGTGAACCAAGCAAACAAGCTAACTCTTTATTTAATTAAATGCAAGGTGTCCTGAGGACAAAATATCAGGGGACTACACAGCGCATTAGAGAGAAAACAGCTTGGAGAGCTAATATTAGCATGTGCTGGCTGGATAAGGTGTTAGTGTAACCAAATATTATATGAAGACAATAGAAATATGACTGCCCTGATATTATATTAAATTCTAGTGTTCAAAGTATTGTATGTAATGAATATTGCTTGTAATTTCAGTGTGTAGGATGGATACATTTCCATAATAACACTGCCATATACCCCTTACAGAACGTGTTATACAGAATTCAGACAGCACACACTGTCATACTGTGTACATTTTGTAAGATTGTTTTGTGAAATGTTTTTGGCCACAGCACAGTTTCTATAAGGATGTTTTCTAAAATGTATCAGATGTGTTAATGCAAATTCAGAGAGACCAATATCCCCAGAAAACACACGTCTTTAATAGTTGCTGCTTTAACAAAGTTGTCTTTCTGATCATGATGTGTATTATAGTGCTCACTATTGCAGAAAAGACAATCAGGGAATTTTTTATTCAGTGATTCAACAGCAAATTGTTGATAAGCTTTGCTTGTCTATATATTTGATAATTATATACATAATTGTAGTAACAATAAATAATTAAAAGGGGTTACTGTTCATGATGCATGATTTTCTTTGCATTTTTCATTTAAGATCGCAAGACTTCAGCTAATATCGTTATTGTTAATTATTATTTAACTGCATATGACCAGAGTCCAGTAAACACCTAATATAGGCAATAGATAATATGTCTGTTTTAGCTGTGAATATCAGTTATTGAAACTGGTAGTCATCATTTTCTGAGAGGAAGAAGTGTCTCTGACTGAGGAGTTACTGTCAGGTCGAGACTTGCAGGTCAAAGCCAAGGACCACAGGAACAAGAATACACCTGAGAAGACAAGAGAAAGGTTGTGAACTCTCCCAGCAAATCACAAGAGCACAGTGTGTATGATAGTGGATCGTGCACATACTGACCCTGCAGGGAGTTTATTATAGTGAACACATAGATCCCATGGAGGGAAATGTAGGTGGTGCTCGCTAACCACCAAGGTAAGCCCAGCACACAGCTGAGACCCAGCACTGTGGCACAGTCCTTCCACAGCCTGCTCCCTTTCTCCTTGTTCACCTTCTTCCAGCTACTGCTGCTCTCAGTGCCTCCACGGTCTCTCCTCAGCTCCCAGAGCTTAAACACCACCAGCCCCAGCATGCAGGAATTATACAGTATCACCAGGCACGGGAGGGCCACAGTAGTGATGTAGCTGACTAAAAGCCTCTGTGGGAACTGGCTGCTCATCCAGCATCTGCAGGTTATTAACAAAACAAAGTCCAATTTGATTTAAATGAAGTTCATTTTGAATTGTGGGCGTTGGATAAAGCAGAGCACCGTTAGAAGCACGGTATGTGTTTGCTAAGGAGTCAGACCTTCTGTGTATGTAAACAATGAATCTTGGTTTCTTACATCTGCGCTGTTGAATTCTGGTTGTTGTTGTCGCTCACTTCCAGACTGTATTTGCCATAAACACCCACAATCCCACAAACCACCACAGTCAGTGTAGGAAAACCTGCAAAAAGACAAAAAAGACACAGAATTTACTTCAACACTACCGTCATAAATAGCCTGCTGACTCGCTCTTTGTGGTGATGTGTTGAAAGGTTAAGTCTGGTGATATTCTATATTTTCCATTTTGTCAGCAAATCCCATTAAGACCAACTATGAAGCCTTGCTGTTGTCCAAAAACAATTAAAAACACACCAATGAGCCACACTGCGCATTGGGTAACACCAGTTAGTATTCCCCTTTTTTTGTATTTCATGCTGCAACATGGGATACTATACTGGAGCCTTAAAATATGAAAAAAATATATATAATGTGAAAACATGAATATGGGACTATGTACTGAAAAAACATTTTAGTGGCTATTAGCCCCTAACGTTCTCACATTTGAAAAATGATTATTTCATAATCATATAACTCCAACTCCATTTGAACTGTTCACACATTTTAATGATTCTTCTGACTCATCACCAGTGTACTGGAAGAAAGCAAATTCATAAAACTTTAACATATAACAGAACCACTGTCTCACCCCATCCCACCAAGCTGAGTTTGAGCAGGTATCTCCTGACGTAGATGTTGAAGACTCTGACTAGGAGAAGGTAGAGGTGGAATCCTTCCAGAGCCATCCAGCTGAAGGTGGCCAGCATGGACCAGTGTAAAAAGAGACCCAGACCCCGACAAACCCAGCCCTCCTCAGTCTCATTCACCAGACGCACCCAGAAGCAGCTCAGCAGGAAGCCGAGGTGGAGGCAGAGCACCGCCCCTGTTAGGTGCATATGCACGCCGATGGCCTTCTCTGGACGCCGCCGCCTGAAAGAGAAACAGTATTCAGTATATCATGATCAGTTTTGTATTGTCTATTTAGCAGATAGCCATTTTGTATTTTGAAACTTTCAGAAATGGATTCAGCATCCTCAGTTACCCCCTAAACCACTCCTAATTGCCCAACATATGCAAGTTAGCATCCAGTAGTTTCTATATGCTGGGGACCCATACTTTACATTTCTAACATAAAACGTTGGTGTACTCAACATTTCTAGGTTCATGTTTCCAGAGTGTGGATTTTAATAGTCTGATATAATAGACATGGCTGATTGTGGCGGTTGAAAGAAAACTAAATTAAGGGATTTTAAAATGGCTTTACTTT